TGGGAGAGTATACTCGCGCAAAAAAACAAAAAACAAAAAACGATGTAGTGCATTTCGATTCGATTTCACTGCATGGTTTTTATTATGGGAGAAATTATCATCATTTCGAATAAAAAATGATTAAAGATTTTTCCCCCGATCTTATTTTTACCTTTCAGTTTCATTCAAATTGTTCTCCCTGTGACTTCCGTATCGGGAGCTCCGCTTTTAGGCAGTGCCTATATATATATATTACCTGTTAATGGTTTTTGCGACGCAGCAGGGGAACAGGGAACCCCCTTCGAAATAAACGTTACGAAAGATATATTAAGAAGCTTTACCTCTCGTTTGATCAACATTTATGGTGCGCCGATCCAGTCAATATTCTCATTATTTATTTCATTGCTTATTGTACGGTGTTTTTATTTTGATGGTAATTATATCTAATTTTTAGCAAGACTGAAGTTCTTTTTGAAGTAGAAAAATTTACTTTAATGGTCATTTGTTTAATCTTTTTTTGGCAATCGAATTAAGATATTCTAATGCAGGATTTTTTTATTATAATCTAATTTATTCATGGTCTTGATTTTTAACATGCTAATTATGATGCATTGCGAGCGTCCATTTGACCGAGCGAGAGACTGATGATGGAGCAAGTTAAAGCCTGGTTTCCATATGATCGCTCACGATCGCCGGATCGCTGAAAATGATGCCAGCGATCGTGAACGATTATATGGAAACACTTTTCAGCGATCGAGCGATCGTGAGCGATCGTGAGCAACCGTGAGCGATCGTTAGCGATTATATGGAAACACATTTCAGCGATAGAGCGATCAAAATGTATTCCATAACGCATCTTTCAGCAGTGGTAGTCATAGCGACGCTCTAAACAAAACAAAACATTGGCCTTGCGTGAAGACTGTATATTCTAGATTGATCTTTAGTTCAAGTTATTTCTACACAATATGGCTGAAAGTCATGATAGTGCAGCCTTAATGGAAGAAATCCGAAAGTATGAATGTCTGTACAACAGGAATATTCTCGATGAAACAGTCGAAGCTCATCGAATAGGTTGTGGTAAAAACCTTGCTGTTTTCTGTTTTTGAAGACATGTCTCACCCAAAAACGATGAGATCTTTTCTGTTTCAAATGTGATCTTCGCTTAAATAAAGCAAGCAGAAGAACAGCGCTTCCTTGTAGAAAGACGCTTTCTTCGTCCACCATGTTGTCAAAACGCTATGCTACCACGCGTGGCTCATATGGATTACAACTTACCATAATATCCGTTGGCTCATAAAAGAGCCACAAACTCAAGTGAAGCTCACTAGTGTAGCATAAACTTCAGCGACTTAATGGAAACATATGTCAGAAACTGATAGCGATCGTGAACGATTCATGCATCAATAATTTCAGCGATCCGGCGATCGTGAGCGATCATATGGAAACCAGGCTTAACTCTATTAACTATGGTTACGCACAATTTTGACATCGTTCAAACGAATGTGTGCAAAGACAGGATGCAAAAGGATTGTCATGTTAATTTCATATTATATTTTCAGCGCTAAGAATAATCTCTCTTTTTCAAGTTTTATATTTAACAAATAAAACAGCTTTTTCCGAGCTCCATTCAGTAATAAAGCACGCGTGAGGCAACTAAAGCACGAAGAAGAGTACGGGAGAAGCACGAGCCGTAGGCGAGTTCTTCTCACACTTCTTGAGTGGTTAAGGCGCTTCCTAAGTGCTTTATTACTGAGCGGAGCACGAAAAACGCTGTTTCATTTGTTTTATTATATAGTTACTCATTTTATTTCGGTATTGAATTTATTTACGCAAAACGAAGGTTTTGACCAATCAGCGCACGCGTACTATCCTAACTTAATAACAGATACATATATTATCGATCTTAGTGTGAATTTTGATTGACTTTCAATTTCTAACGCTTGGCTGGTCTTGGAAGCGTTGTATCAGAGATTGTTGTCTCGGTGCGATATGACAATAAGTAATACATGATCAAACGCGAAAAAGAGAAGTGTGTTGGAAAAACGAGGCGTAGCCCAATTTTGTTAATCAACTTCGAGATGTTTGGATAAAGGATAAAACACTCTTTCAAGTACATGATAAATAATTCAATCAATGTATTGCTCATTTAGAGAAACACTTAGAGAAACATTCAGCTCTCACTCTATTCGAGTAAGTTCAACTACTTTGAAGCCAAGCTATTATGGTTGCGTCTAAAGCATTCTTTCAGAATCTGTGATGGTTGATATTCCTGAAATCTTTGGTAGATTGTTCTTATTAATGTTTTTATTGGACGGCCTTTTCTTTTGTTGCTTGTATCTATAAAAGTTAGCTTCTTGATGTATCTGCGGTTTGAGGAGCGTATTATATGTGCAAACCATTTTAGTTGTTGTTTCACAACAAAGTCCTTCAAGGGAGTTGCTCTAGTATATTCATGTATTTGCTCATTCGTTAGTTTATATGTCATATCATATACTTGATCATCATCATCATCATTTGCATCTAAGAGAATCATCTTCCTCTTCTTTCCACCTTTAACAAGTTTCCGTAGATGTTCAAGGATGTTGATTATATGTGCAGCAAATTAGGTCTAATGACGAGTCCGTTAACGACCAGGTCTGGCAAGAGTAAGTCAACTTACTCCTGAACAGTGAGTCGAAGGTCTTTCTCCGAGTGACAAGTGAAACTGCGTGGTTCTTGTATACATTTTCATCTTTATAATAGCTGTTTATTGATGAAAATTTTCTTGTCTGAAGTTCACATCTAGGAGTATATGGCTCGTTACATGTAAACTACTGGCTGAGGTACATGAATGTATCCACATTCATGAGTTGTTGATTCTTAATGGTACAGATAGTCTTTGGATAGGGGATTTCATCATATCTATCCGACATTATGATAGTCTTGGTTTTATCAAATGACATCTGTAGTCCAAACCTCTGAAGTAGTCTGTACAGAATCTCTTGTTACAGCTTCTCAGCTGAGTCTGTTAGTATGGCTAGATCATCCGCATACCCAAGCCATAACAAGGATAACACCCCGGAACCTCTCTCTTCTGTTCGCTGTGCACGGTTTGTTGCTTCATTAGGTATTTTGTATTGTAATTCAATGTGAAGGCTTTGCTGGGTCTTTCTGTAGGTACGGCAATCAGTTTGTCAGGGGAATTCTATTCAAATTCAAATTTCAAGTAATCGGCTAGTAGTCGTACCCTACGATAGCATAAATTAAGCTATAATAAATATTTATGTACACATGCTAATGATATATCGTTTAAATATGACTAAAAAATGAGACCACCCAACCGAATTCGCTTCGTGATCTAGGGCAAGGGCGCTAGGGCAAAAATTGGTGTTTTTTTAGCCGTTAGACTCCATTATATTGATGTTTTTTAGCCGTTAGAAACTGTTTAAACTGTTACTTATATATTACTTATCTACGCCAAAAATACCGCTGTGACCAACGGTTCAATCTTAAGTAACGAACTACTGTATCCTATACCTGCTTCGCGACCGCTTACGTAAGCGTACGCGTCGGTTAATAAGTTAATAAGTTAATCCAAATACCCTAAATAACCAAGAATGTTCAACTAAACAAATCAAGCCAGCATATAACAGAACAGATAAGTAACAGTTTTTAAACAGTTTCTAACGGCTAAAAAACACCAATATGACCGAGAAACCACCAATTTTTGCCCTAGCGCCCTTGTCTAGGGGTTAGGGTAAGGGTTAGGGTTAGCATTGCAGTAGTTTATTGGTGCCGAAAGTACCGAGTTCGATTCTTGGTGTCTTCACTTAATTTTTTTTCTAAGTGAAGAGAACCAAAATTTCTAAGTCCCACTCGTGTGTTCGGAAACCTATGACGCATTCTGTGCTTCGGTACCCACAGAAGGAACCGCTTTGCTGTTGGCATTCGTGTTCAAATATATGTAGTATAAAGTCCAAGTACAGATTGAAACAGTAAGGACTCTCACATCCACTTTGTCTGACTCCACTAGTTGTTTTAAAAGCCTCATCTTTAACCTAGCTCTCCAGTCATAACAGTGTAGGTCTCGGTGTAGATAGACTCTAATAGGCTAAGTAATACTGTTAGGTTCTTGTTGTTATTCACATTACGTTTGTTCATGCTGTTGAATATCCATTCTCGTGGTATCCAGTCAAATGCTGCTTTCAGGTCTATAAATCCAACGTATATATCTTCCTTCCTTTCATAGAATATTTGCTGCACACAGCAGTAAATGGCATCTTGACAGTTCCTGTTGGAGCAAAAGCCAAACTGACCCTCTAAAAGATTGTTCTCATATCATTTTCTAGGCGACGCAGAATTATTCCACAGAGGATCTTCAACTGCGTTGAGCTTATTGAAAGGCCACGGTAATTGTTAGGATTACTTAGCTTGCCCTTCTTCTTGATAGAGTTTTTAGTCTTGAATACTTCCAATTAGTTGGTATGTCATTCTGCTGCCAGATATCTGCATATAGAGTAGTTAATGTTCGTAGGCAATTGGCGTCCGTTATAAGAGCTTGAAGAAGCTCTGCTGGTGTCTCAGTGGTTTCCTTTCGATGTTTAAGAGTTTCTTTATTGCAGATGCAATTTCGGCTTCATCAGGGGGATTACTATTAATATCTTTATCAGTCGATAGATGTTGTAATGCGTCGTACAAATACGTAGGAAGCTCAATCCGGCTCTTGAGGAGTTTCAGTTGAAGATTCGAATTCTTTATTAAAGTGTTCTTTGAAGTGTTTTTTAAGTGTACAGTGACTGTAGTACATGTAGACGGTAAGCCGTGCCCGTTTCATTATAGAGGCACAATCAATGTGCATTCCTGAAGAGCTTCTCTACTGAGTCTCTTATTGCAGCACCTTCATTATTAATAGTGTCAACTTTTTCTTGGTAGAAGCTTCTCTTCAGTGCATCAGCTCTTTTCATGATATGTTTTGATAGAAGTCTGTACTGTACCTTAACAGTTGGATATTTTAGCTTATTTTGCTCTGCTTTCAGTGTGTTTTAAAAATTCCTCATCAACTCGCCATGGTAGATTTGCATATCCATTTTTTTCTCAGCTGTATCAGTAAGTTCGTCTGTTATTACTGCTACTTGGTTGTTAGTATCTGGGTGGTCTTGATTTAGCTCCTTCACTTTGACTAATTTCTCAAGAAATCTCTGATGTATGGCAGGATCTTTTAGACTACTGTAATCTATCATTGGTCTTCTCACATGAGGGGTTCGTTTCTGTCTGTCTTTTTTACGAAAAGGAATAGCCCATCGTTGAATAAGACGTCTGTGGTCACTATTAAGAGTGGTTTCAGCCAAGTAGTTGTTTTTTACTGTACAATCAAGACAGAACGAGGCGAGTGTTTGTGTAGCCAAGGCATAATCTAGGGTCTTAGAGGTTGTATGTCCGTCATTACTATGAAACGTCAATAAATGAGATTGTTTATGCTTGAAGTATGTATTGAGCATTCCCAGTGAGTTCTTTACACAAAAGCTTGTCATTGCTTCGCCATTGTCATTAAACTCGAAGTTGCTGCTATAATTCTTATTCCGACCATAGTGTGTAGGTCGAAGATGTTTAACGAGAGTAGTAGTCGCATTTAGATACCCAAGAAAAAGTTGTTCGGTCTTTCCAGGTACTAGATCTACTTCCTTTTGTAAGCTTCTCCAAAACTCTGATCTTTGATTATCGTTCCCAGGTGTTGTTGGGCAATTTGTAGGTGCATAGAGACAGTAAACTCGGGTGTTAAATCCTACATACTGCAGATCAATCCACATCATACGAGGGCTGATTTGGGAGATCTGTATGACTCTCAGCTTGGGATCACGTTTTATTGCAATTGCAACTCCATGTAGTCGTTTTCTGTCATATCTCATCATAGTTTAAGTAACCATATGCATAGTGTGGATTAGAGTCTGACGAAGTATAATTAAGTCATTCCATCATATCCAGGAATTTCGAAATTTTTGACTTTCTCGTTGCAAATAGGCGAATAGAACCAAATAAAATCAATAAGATAACTTTAAAACTAAAATTTGAAATAAAAAATATACTATTATGTAAACTTAAAAATTTGAACGTGCGTCACGGTCGGCGCTTACAATACAATAATTTCTTGGAGAAATTCAAAGCATAAGCTGCCTAAAATCACTAAGGCCCCGTCCACACTATGCCGGATAAATTTGAATCCGCAACTTTCACACCGAAACCGAAAAAAAAAAGTTTTCGTCCACACATGAAAACGGATAAAATGTTTCGCGTCCACACTAGTTCGATCAGAGGCGGCAAAAACGCTTCATTGCACATCTGATGCACATGTGCATCGAAGCTGAAATTGAGCTTGCGGTGAATTTTTAGCCTTCCCGCCATGTTCACATGACAATCATGACGTCATCGTATTCGAAAAATTTCGGATACGAAATGTTCTCCGTCCACACTAATACGGCTAGCCGGCGTTTTCAAATTGTTCCACTCTGGAGACCGTATTCGAAAAAAATCGTTTTCGGTGAAGAATTGTTCCGGATTCGCCCGGACTAGCGTGGACGGTAGGCCTAACCGAATAAATAAAAATTCGGATTTAAATTTATCCGGCATAGTGTGGACGGGGCCTAAGATCACCTATGAATAATCCGGATATGTTCAAAATCACTATCCTTAAAGATATGCGCCTATTTTCTTTCTTTCCAGCTTCTATATCAACTTGGTATGGCTTTTGAGTCTGGAGGTTGAAGAGGAATCCCCTTTATTTTCGGTACGACATGACGTCACCGTTCGTGAAACATGAGTAAGACAATCAAAACAAACCGTTAGACCTTGCAGTGAACCACACAACTAAGAAGACCAAATATCAAACTTCAGTCCGAATTAGAATCGAAGGTAGTCCAAATATGACGTACAGACGCAACTACAGCTTGGCGACCAAAGTTAATTTTCCGCAATTAAAGATATAACCATAACTCATGACTCAAACTTGGTGGAATAACTACAAGCTTTGACTGACATTGCTGACTAATTGAGTATATAAATTCAAGGTAGTACTTGCTATTCACAGCTCTGTGGTAATCACTGATATATTCAAACTAAGACAGGCTACTGAGCTGCAAAACAGGATAAACGATGAGTGACACCGCAAGTAGAGACAGCAATATTAGGGAGAGAAAAAGACCACTAGCTGCTTCTGCAACGCATTTGGAACTTGGGATGACTGCAGAACCAAGGATCGGTCTGTATAGAGAATGCTTAGCAGTACCCCAAGAACACAGTAATTCAAAGCTAATTATTCATTGCACTTCTACTTTGACTACGATTGATGACCACATAAGTGATTTCAGGAAGAGCACTACAGGAGCGCAATGTGAAGATAAGGAGGATGACATGACCAAGTACATGGCGTTAGGGGATGCCCACCTGAAGAAAGAAGAATATGATGAAGCTATATTATATAGTAGAAAATGTCTTGCCATCGCACAAGAATCTGGTGATAAAGTGGCTCAGATGAATGCGTGCATGACGTTAAAGGAAGCCAACTTGATAAAAGAAGAATATGATGATGCTATATTCTACAGTAAAAAATATCTTCCCATTGCCAAGGAATCTGGTGATAAAGTGGCTGAAATGGGTGCGTACATGACGTTAGGAAATGCCAACTTGCAAAAAGGAAAATATGATGATGCTATATTATATGGTAAAAAATGTCTTATCATCGCACAAGAATCTG